AGAAGAAGACTGTCCTAAAATGCGAACAAAGGCAGATCTGGATGATAAATAACTTTGGAACCACTTGACATAAGGAGAAGATAGTCCAAATTTATTTAGCTTTTTCAAAAGAATAGAATGCGGGACTGAATCAAAGGCCTGCCTAAGATCAAATATCAAGATATAAATAAGATAATATTAAAATAGATCATAAGTTGGAACGATTTCGGGTTCTCACAAAATCGGGAAAGAAGACAAGTTTTCTGGGACACTGCACCGTGTAGAGTGATTTAAGTTTACCGACGTATCAGATGCCTGCCGCCTCCATTATCAGGGCCTCTTAAAATATGTAAACTTATACGGCGCAACATCTCATATGGCAGTCAACGTTATTTTATATAAATAGGATGTTCAATGGTCTGAAATGGCTTAGGACAAGTCCAGTGGCGGACTGTTGTGAACACCCGATTTCTATTAAGGATGAATTTTTTGACTAGCTCTGATTTTATTTAGCTTCTCAAAAACGACTAGCTCCATAGTTCGATAATTGTATCACATAGCACGTAAACGGAAACACGAGAATTTTTAATTTCGAAAGGCAAGGTTTTTCTTCCTAACCTGTGAGAGAAACATTCTGATACGCAAATGGTTTCGACAAAGGTAAAAATTTGCTGGGTTTTTTAAATGATATAAAAACGTTTTTCTGGAGAGCGAGCTATTTACAGAGAAACCTGGCATTCTGAATTGACACGTATCTTCAGAAAGACGAGAAAAAGTAAAATATACTTTAGACTGTGTAATTCAGCCAACTAAACCTCCCTCCCCCCTCACGCAGTGGCAGCCACAGAAGATGTTTCAAGATCCACTCCATCATCTTTCCTGTCGCAGGTGTTGTGATTCGGTGTGACATAATATTCAAAACAGATGTCACATATTTACTTAAGATTACAATGACAATATCAATCAGCCTATCTTTCAGTTCCATGGCTTGTAATCTAACACATTTCTGTGTATAAAAGGGCAAATCTGACATGAAAATATCACAGTCTACGACGGCGTTAAAATCTGCAACAAGGAAGAAAAAGAAGAAAGAAGATGTCTCTCCGACTACTCATTGTGGCACTTCTGGCTGCTTCAGCCATAGCAACCACACATAACGAATGTAAGCAATATTCATATATTAGTTTAAGAATTCCGTTGAAATTAAACGGGGAATAACTTCTTTTTTGACTCAATCCGTCGTTCTATTTCTTTCTTTCTTTCCTTTAACCGCATTCCTCTCCCATCCCTTCAGGAAACACTTAAACTGTGCTACAAACACACGGGAACATAGCACTCTGTAACACAAATACAAAACAGTTTACAGTTAAACATCGCTCAAACATTGAGCTTTGGTTATTTCATTATTTTCCCAGAGATCCGTGTCCATGTAAACAAGCGAAAGAAATGGCATCTACCACCACAAACATGAAACTGGCCTTTACACAAAACAGATGATGGCTACTACAACATAATTTAATTTTTACCTTAACCAAGCTGAATTTTATTTTTAAAAATTTCTGTTGGTATATTTCCACGGTAACGTATAATCTATATTGCTGGAAATCTAACAAAAATTCGATGAGAACAGAGCGAAGGGATTAATCCTAAAAGTTCAGAAAACGAAAAAGTTTCAGAGGTCCTTGTTGCTTCCATCAACGCCCTGATGATGGACGCACCAAATACCACTGAGAAGTCGGTAAATTTCTACCAGACTACACAGACAACAGCCATCTTCACACTCGACGCCGTGAGAACCTCAAATTCTACTCGAACAGAAAACATTCAGTTATTCCGCATGAAGTAGAGTCCTTCTTGCGACGTTTCGGTCGCTCAGATAGTCAAGACATACATCGACTTTCTTAGAAATCCCACATTCCGTTGTGTGTTCATTATAGCCCGCCACTGGTCCCTACCTGCACCAGATAAATCCAATCTACTTCCTCGCACTCTGTTTAAATACGTTGAGGTGTGTTCAAATCTCTCAGTTAAATTGACAAATTCCCATACAAGTTTAATATGGGTGATAAAAACATGCATTAACATTGCAGGTGAAAATAAGCCCGCACCGGATGACGTTCGAGTGGAGAATTGCAGTGAACAGCCCTGCTCTATTCTACAGGGATCTGACGTCATCGCTGAGGTGGACATCGTTGCACGTAAGATCGAATTTTTCTCTGTTTGATGCCATTTTTAAAATTGCTCGCAACTACCTGTGTAGTAATGATCCCGTCCGCTCCATATCTATGAGTACTGTCATTTAAAACAAATTAGGAAACGTTATTATGGCGTAACAATTTTGTTAATTTCGCTTCATTAATGTTTCTAGAGATGCAATTAGTGAATGGTACCTTTTAATGCCCTCTTAAAAACTGGAGAGACACGTGAGTAGCAACCTATACAAACAAGACTGGACCGTACCGGAACGCACAGCTTCCACGTGTGTTCTTTCATAGGCCTTACAATCGATACCATCGTAACCGTCGATATCGATTTTAAGGTAGACCACCATTGACATAAGTCCATACCAAATGTCATCCACATCCATCCAGCGGTTCTCGCGTTAAATCATACGGACAGATAGACAGACATGGTCAGCCTTATATGCGTTCATTTCGTACACATCGTCCAAAGAACACATAATAATAAGTCAGTCAACAGAACAGACACTGGTCTTCCGCTGCCATGACAACCAAAATTCCTAAGTAAAAATTCAGTTTCTACCTCAAAGAAATCACAACGTATAACCGTTACAGAACTCAACTATTTAATGCTGTTTAAGTAAAAGTCAATAAAAGTCTCTTATATAAAGTGGTCGTTATAATTGAGGTCTAAATTAAAACTGGAACGGCTAGATAAGTTTTCGCAACACTCCCTAATATCATGTTTTACGGAAATCAGTTCATCCGTTCCTGAGTCGTTGATGGACGGACAGAAGGACGAAACGATTTTAACAGTTGTTCAGTAAATGCTTCTAGAAAGCGTCTAGTAGCATCCATATCAAAGATTAAGTGACCTTCTGAACTGAAACAACGTACTTTATGATGAGTTGACGAGTTTCCCTTTTGTTACAGAAAAGAACATCAAAAACTTGGAAGCCAGAGTGAGAGCCACAGTGTTCGGACTCACTGTGAACTACCCACTACCTGAGCCAGACGCGTGCAAATCCCTCGTTGACTCGTCTTGTCCTCTAGAAAAAGGGGATGTAGCCACTTACAAATTGGTAATGCCTATCTCTGAGGCAATTCCACAGGTAAGCAGTCTCTAATACAAAAGCTAAAACGTGGTACTTTCCGAGAGCTGCATTGTCTACTGCCTCACTGTGGGTCGAATTAAGAATACATTTTCGAGTTGGGTTTCATATCTGCAAGATTATTCAACGTCGAATATACATTTTTGCACATAATATGACACGGTTTGTAAATGTGCGTGTGTGTTATACTGTGCTTGGGAGTTGTAATTGTTTATTCTGAGAAAAATTAACGTACGACGGATAAGGGAACGACATAATCTTTAGTCTCTACCAAGAAGCAGCACAGAGTATGCAGACAAAATCTTATACGAAATGTTCCTATCTCTTGTGAAATATAGATGTAGATGCAGTAATAATATTAAAAAAAGATTTTGAAGGAAGAGCATGTGAAAGTACGAGCTGGACTGAAGTAGTTCGAAATACAGTCCGTGGCTTGGTATCGTGAACGCCAGGAGAAAATTAGGAATTTTTTTGTCCAGCCCAGTAACTATAAAATTTTCAAGGAATAGTAACTAATTTTTGATCTATATGTTACATATAAACCTGTATTATGCAATTCAACCCTGCAACTTTAATCTGTACATTAAGTAGTAAACTATATTATCTTCAAGAAATATATGAAAAAAACCAGTTCCTTTAACGATCATTTAATATTGAAGCTCTAAATATTAACAGAGAAATACAAACAAATTCATATAAACTCACCCACGTTTGCAATAAACTACTGTCCGTTCTCATTAAATACCTTTTAAAAGTCCACCCAACAACTATCATGTGTTAAACAGTGTGTTAGAAGGTTTTCCAACCAGAATTGTGAATGTATTTTGCTCTCATCCTTGATTAAACCACTTGTTATATACAAGACAAATTAATTTTTGAATTTGTTTCAGGTATCTGTGAATGTTGAGCTTTCACTCGTAGATACAGATTCAGAAGAGGTGGTCTCCTGCTTCAACATTGACTTGAAAGTCACAAAATAAACATAACATTATATCAGTTCCAAATTATTATTATTATCGAAGAAATGTTAAATCCACTTTTAAATTGAATTTGATGTTGTAATCTCTGTTGTACTAATTAGAATGAATAAAACTCTGTAAGCCATATGAAACAATAGTCACATTCGTTTTTAGCACATTTCCTTGCACTCTAAGCGATTACAACGCCATCAGTCGTCCTGCAATCCTACCTGTATGGTAAGCAGAAATCTGCACTTATCAGCATAATATAGATTTACGTTTGAATATTAACAAAGGCGAAATACTTATCACTTCGAATTGAATTCCCATCTGTCTGTCTACCCGTAGAAACAAAATATATGTTAACAATCTAACTATTTCAAGGCAAATTGTCTCACTTAACAGCTTTTGAAGCATATCGTAAACAGGTTTCAGGGTGGTCTTGGAATGAAAATTCCGTTTATCTGTTGCCGAAAATCTCTCAGTGGCTAACATATCTCTGAGTCTACTAATACAATTACCTCTTCAATAAGTTCCATAAAAGAGCACGGGACGTGACCTAACCTAATAACATATCGTAACGAGGGGCACATACCACACAATTATAATTATTAAGTATAGCATATAATATAACATAGGTTACTCTCGTTATACGTGATTTCGCTATCTGCGTGTTTGTATCCGTGGTTTTATTTCAGTATCATAAGTACCATCAATATCCCATCCGCAGAGAAATTTTAAAGGTTATCTATCATCTGCGTCCAGTCTCTCGAGACTTATCAACGAATGTGACGCAGATGATAAGCTTAGCATCAGATAATTCTGGTGTTAGCTTAAATTATTCCCAAAGAACCAGTTACGATAGTAAATAACTGAAATCAATTAGCGACCAGCCCATGTTCATAACAAATTAACACGTAAAAATGTATCACGAAACAGAATACAAAGAGTTTGTAAACATTATGGCCTAGAAATAAATTAGACGTACAGAAAAGTAAGTACATTTTCTCGTCTCGTCAACAGAATGCAGCACAAACTTGTAATATGCAGATAACTAGTAACAAATCCTTCGAAAATGTGTCGAAGTTCAAGCATATCATAATCTGGAACAAAATAACGAATAATAATTGCATTTGGGAAATAAACGAAATGAATGGGATAAACACGACATGTAATATGCATGGCGAAGTTGGGGAATGTTAAAAAAACCCTCGAAGATAGACAAAACCTGGGGGCCTGGGCGCAGGTGTAAGGATAACACTAAAATGAATCTCAAAGAAATTACGATGTGAAGTGGCTCCAACTGACTCAACATAAGATGTGATAGCGGGCTATTCTCAATACGAAAATGAACCTTCAAAATTCCATTAAATGTAGCCAATTTGTTGATCAACTGAGTGACTTCTCAATAAGAGACATTCAATTATCTGGACAACAGGGCACATATTTTTCCATGTCTGAATCACTCTGAGGTAAAGATTTCCAAAAAATATTTTCAGATAACTGCAACGGACAATCGGTTAACTTTTCAAGAATTCACCCTGAACAGCAACCCTCTTATTTTTCAGAACTTTGTGTACTGTTGTTTCTGCAAGGCAGAAGAACGGTGGACGTTTAGAACAGCACAAGATACAAGATGTTTCGATTGTTCCTATCAGTGACCCTCGCTGCTACAGCACTGGCTACGACATTTCAAAAATGTAAGTTCATATAAAACGTCTTTTTTACTACTGAATGACCAAACAACAGAAGTTAACGACACAAATTGTGGTGGTTAAGTTTTCTGCATATCTACTGTCACGTGCCATCGTAAGCCAATCAACTTCTCAGCATCAGAGAGTTGGTGAAAAGAATTCAGTTACTTCAGGCTTGAAGCAGACGCCGTTTGTAAGCGCGTCTCTCTCTTCACTACCTGCCTTCGTTCGCATCCGTCAATTTAGTAACTCAGTGTTTCTCGTTCGTTCTTAAGTGGCAAACGCACTACAACATATTTCAGTACCTGATGGAACACAATTTATTATAGTAAAATCGATGATTATCTCACCAGGTTCAGACAAGGAGCCACCGCCAGAGAATCTGAGAGTGTCCGATTGTACGGAAGAACCCTGTAATTTCGTCAGGGGCAAGGAACTGATCGCAGAAGTGGACTTCGTTCCCGGTGAGTGAAGGAACTGAAACGTCGGTCACTTATCCACCTCTCTCCATGGCAAGACAGGAATAAACACCTCAGTATTACTATTCCTAACTTCATATACATAAATAATTAAAACTAAAGCCAACAGTATAACCGAGAGTCGAGACAACTATTAAAAACCGCTACATTAATACACGACTATGAACCAGTTCCAACCACATCCAATCATAACAACTTATATCCTTAATATCCATCTTAATGGGTTCCCAATATCCTAATCTTTGAAGCGACTTCTTCACTAAAATTCTGTTTGCATTTCTTGTTCACATAAGCATACATGCTTACACATTTCGCTAGTCCAACACCACTACTAGGAGCTCCGTATAATAAACCACAAAAGATCATTTCACCCTTCTCACGTTGAAATACTCGCCTCATAACTTTGTTTTCAGACATAATTTAGACCTATATTTGTTCTTCAGAGGAAAAGATCACGAAAATTCTGTTATAACGTGCGATTTGAGATTTTCGTGATAGTGTTATTCTTGTGGGCTTTTGGCACCTTGTAGACTCGTCGGTACATGCTACAGTTTCGGTGGAACATAATGTATCCATCTTCAGAGAGCGGACCACTTCCTCGGCTCCCCCTGTCCTCTAACTCGATATATATATACTTCCCAGCATCGCCACTTCAGCACAGAATTTATCCGAAACTCTGGCACCTACGGATGACTCTGCACGTCGCCAAACATCGTGATTTTATGGTGACTTTCTAAAGGTTTGCATCAGTGGTTCGTAGGAGTGTTTCAAACTATTTATGTTGTTCAAAGTGACATTTCTTTTGAAGTGTGTCACGCAGCAATATATTTTTTCCAGACCACAACATCACGGAGCTGAAACCAAATGTGCAAGCCATCGCCCTAGGACTGCCTGTCGAATACCCAGTGCCACAAAGGAACGCCTGCAAATCTATCCTGGAGAAGACGTGTCCACTGCCACAGAATGTGCAAGCCACCTACGTGCTGAAAATTCCTATCCTGTCAATTTATCCTCCGGTAAGTACAATTCTCCTGAACCACAAGGGCAGTTACTCGAAATCATTATTGAACTCACACGAGTCCAATAAAAATTATTGAATATTAGATAACGTAATAGCAAATGGTACAAAATTACGTGCTTCAAAGGTCACAGCAAAATCATACAACGCTGCAACACGAACAGCGCAGTCAAGGCGAGTAGAGACAGCTCAGAACTCGCAGCATAGCAAAAATAGCATCGCTTTACTGTTGAGAAAGATCCTGCCGATCTGTAGGAATCTGAGTGATAATACTCATGTCAGTTTGAAATCATGGATATGTCAACGTTGCCTCAAGATCACGATAATATCAGTCCAAGGTTTTGAGGAAAATATTCCTTTAAATTTTCCAAACTCACTAAATGAACATTTTTTCTCACGCTTATATCTGCCTGTCTGCATTAATATGTGTGACCATATTCATATTTTTTGAAGCCACTCATGCTGCTCGGTAAGGGGCGTGAGGTTTTTCTGTGGCCCTCAGCATGCAATTTGGTGACGGCTGCTACAGCGTTGATCAGTTTTCACTGGGAAACAGCCACAAATATTTTACCGAACATAAAAATTAATAGGTGAGATCTCGGTAGAGATCTAAGTGTTACAAAAAAACCATTAGATGAGCGATACCAAGAATAAATTAATGTAATCAGACCAATGCAGATTATCGAAGATCGATGTTCAATAGAAACACGTCCGATAAACCGCAAGAGATGAATCGATAGAAAAAACCTGATGGGAATTATCGCATATCAATGTTAAAAACAAACCGGTAAGAGGAAAATTGCCAAGCGGCTAATGAAACTGTTTGTCACAGCTGTGAACCAGTAGAAGAAATCTCCAAAAAGAAATAATGAATGTCGATGGTGATCTTGTTGGTGAGGATTAACGTTTCGGACGAACGTAGTAGCTCCATCTTTAAGGCTGAAAATACATAATCTGAATTCCATAATTCACTATAATCCTAAATCACGCTACGTCACGACATAGGAAAATACATTAAATTTAAGAGCTTTGTTAAGTAAACTAAGACAATGAACTCTTCTCCTCATTTTATCTGTAACGGTAAACCCATAACTGCACATATCTGTCAAACCTACAATGCATGGATGCGGTCTAAGAACATCGAACTTTTATTTCAGGTACGACTGACGGTGAAATTCGCCCTAATCGATTCCGGCACAAATCAGGTGGTCACGTGCTTCAAGATTTCAGGGCAGGTTGTGTAAAGAATAACCTCGCCGTAAATTAATTCAAAAACTCTTAAAAATATCTTAAACTATACAAAACATTGCACATATCTTACAATTTATAGATTTTTTTAGTCTTCCTAAAAGCATTCGGAAGACTGATAGGTTGTTTGGTTACTGAACAACGTTTTACAACTGCACAGCTTACACAACGTTGAAATATACGCTGAACATAATTAGGAAGAAAGCCTGTTTTAAGATACTATATCAGCGTCTGCTTAAAGGTACTGGGAAATCCGACCTCAACTTCAATTACGATAGCGCGTCACACGAGCAAGATTTGAACTAAGGTCCACCCGAATACGAAGCAAGAATTGTTAACTCTTTGACCATTCACCAGAAAGTAATGCTAGTGTTTTCTAAAGAGTCCGTCTATGTACATCCTACTCAGCTACCAGCAAGGGATTTTGTTACTGATTATAAATAATCATAAATGACTGACAATGATAATATAAGCCGCGCTCCCCACTGATATCATTATCTGTCAGAACTTGGTTAAGTGTTGAAATAGAAAACATTTTTCCAACCTGATTACAAATAAACCAATCTTTGACTCAAACATACTTCACTGCACTTCATAAGACTGATTAAATTTTATCGGCTACAAAAACACCTGTGGCCAGGTGTTCAATAAAAGCATTATGAATGTTCTCAGTACATTAACCCTCAACAACTCTTCGTTACTTAATTTTCTCACTTCATTTATTATTTCGATCTCGAATATCCAAATTAATCTCCTACTCCTCTAACTTTCTGCTTTTTTTTTTAGTTAATTCTCTTAGATCGGCTTATTCTACTCTTAATTTTGTTATCGGAAATCGATACTGTTCGGTTTTTCTCATGAGAAATAGCCACCTTTCGAGTGCATACGAAACAATGTATAACAATGCGCAGATATTTACAGACAGTCATACAAATATACAATTACATAATAAAAACAAATATACAAACATTTCCTAACTAAACAAGTTAGTGGTTAATTAAATCCGAAGACTCGTGACGATGGTGTATTATGAAAATGACGAAATTTTTGGACGTCATCCAACGTCCTAAATTACTATTAAAACAACGTTTCCGAAAACATAATCTACTCTGTGTGGTCCAGAGTTCTATCACACTTATGTATACTACAGGAAGCGCCTCTGAAACGTCGGTCGATTTCTACCAGACTGCACGGTGTAACAACCTAGAAGACATCCTTCTTGATTTTATCACCGTAATAACATTTAGTGAAAAGTACAAATTATGAAGCTCCTCATTATAAAACTTAATATTTTCCAGCCTGTCTCTTAACTTCCAATATTGACCAGTCCACACGCACTTTTAACAAACCTGCAGGTTCACATTTAAAATTATAATTATTTAATATTTTTATATTACATATTTTAAAACTTGCATTTTCAGATAGAAGAAGGTAATGGAAGTAAAGATACTGAACTCAGAATTCTCTGAATACAATTTGCTCTTAATTTCGCTGATATAATCACTTTCATCTGTTACGTGCTATTACTTCGTAATGCAATCTGGTGACAAATTTCGTATTTCCCGGTTGTTCTGGGAGCAACTGCTGTACGATTAAGCAGTATTCTTAGTTCTACAATTACCACAGAGGTGGCAGAAGCTGTATTACGGCAACGTAGAAGTAAAACGAAACCATAATCCTTACTGTTATAGTTAAAATATTTCCAAATGTATTGTCTCTTCATTCGTTAATAACATTATTATAATATAATGACAAAGTAGATTTCAAGTCGGAAAATCTCAAGCAAAGCGGCCATTTGGGAGATGAAGATATAGATGTGAGAATATTATTAAAATAGATTTTAGATAAATAAGTAGTTACGGAGTGAAATGGATTCAATTGGCTAAGGGTATTATTCAATGATGGCCATATGAATCCAATCCACACACCCCATTCCTATCTCTCTACGATCCATTTTAATTTTATCCCTCAATCTACACCTAGGTCCTCTGAGTGGTCTCTTCTATTCCGAATTTCCAACTCAAATTTTTATACAATTCTCACTTCTTCCACGCCCACCCATCTCAATCACCGAGACTCCATCATCCTAATAATATTTTGCGAAGAGAACTTTCGGAAACCTCATTATGTAATTGTCTCCATGTTCGTGCCATTTCATCTCTCTTAGATCCAAATATTCTCCTAAGCACCCTGTTTTCTAACACCCCTCAACCTGTGTTCTTCCCTCAACGTGAAAGACCAGGTTTCACACCCATACAAAACAACAGGTGCAATTAGAATCTTGTACACTTTTAACTTTAAGTTTCTAGATGGTAGCCCGGAAGACGTAAGATTCTGAAACGCATGCAGTCTCCAAATTTTTTCTGCTCTTAATTTCTTGGTGAATCCAAATTTCAATCTTTTTCTCAGGACTAGAGTCCAATTGCAGGCCCACGTGAAAAGCTGTTATCGCCTCCCCCCCACACACACACTCCCATACCCTCCCATGTTACAGCCACCTCATCATTCATTATTTACGATCTGTGTAATGGTATTAAGTGCAGAATAAGATTACAAAGTGGGATCAGCTGTCAGTTCCTTGGCACATGTACAGTGCTGCGCTCTGGCTACCCTGTCGGTAGCTTTCCATTGCAGCGGAGGCTAGAACGGATCAATAGTCCGCGGCGAGACGAGGTCAGTCCCGCCCAACCAGGCCCGTTCGCTCTACACTTTCGCCCTCATAAAATAAAACAAGTAACATTACTACCAACGAACAATTAAATTCAGAACAAACTCTCATATTAGGCCTACGTTCCATTGACAGAACCCAGTTGGTCGACAACGACACGGTATGAGTTCTGAGAGAGAATCTTGCGTCAGTAAAGATGTCAGTTGTCTTCTGGGTTATTAAGCCTTGTAGCCTTGTAGATGGTTACAAGCGTTTCTGAGGCATGTGTCATTTCCACCCTGAATATGGAAGCGATGCGTTCTTCCGAAACGTTAATAAGGACCTACGAGTTTACAGGTTGTCATAATCCAGAAGACGTCTTTCATCGCCCTGATGATGGAAACAGCAAGAACCTCTGAAACCTCGGTAAACTTCTACCAGACTACACGGCGCAACAACCCAGAAGACAGCCATCTTTAAACTCACCGCTGTGATAACCTCAAATCGTACACGATAAACATACAAAAACAGTATGGACACATATGAATTGCGGTAATCCATATACGTATACAACCAATGCAATACATTACAAAGTGGAAATTTACGTTAATATACAGTGGGACACGCCCCATATGTAATGTATCCATCTGCAAAAGACACATATTTTACTGAATTTTCCTTCTGTGCAGGCTTTAATTAAACATATCTAAACTATAATTTTACCAGCTGGTTTACATATTTGTGAAACTTTCAGACATTCGAAGGGATGGACATTGAGAATCTCTGATAACACAATGGAGAAAATGTGTCGACCTATGAGAGTGGAAGCGAAAGGATGGAGAAAGTTACACAGTCAAGAGCTTCGTAATTTATAGACTACTCTTCATCAATTACAATTAGTGATCAAACTAAAATAGGATAATGTGGGCGGACGTGTAGCACGCATGGGTGGATAAGAAGTGAATATACTAAATTTTAGTGCACAAAACTAAAGGAAGAGATCATTTGAGAGATATAAGATTAGTGAAAGGATAATATTAAAGTGGATCTTAAGACAAAAACGGTGTGAGAACATAGAGTGGATTCAGCTGGCTCCGGATATTGTGTTGTGAGTGGCGCTTGTGAATAAGCAAATGAACCTTAAAGTTCCATAAAAGTTATGGAAATTCTTAAACATACGAGTGACTGTTTCTCAAGATGAATTCTCTTCCGGTGGACATTAATTAATTTGAAACTCTTCTTAAAACAGTTTTAGGTAGGTACATTTAATTTATTCTCTCTTATCAAGTTTTTGTGTCTTTCATTTGGCTTTGTGGTGCACAATACAGAAAAAAAACAGTCAGCTTCAAACAGGAGGACGGAAAGATGGCTGCGTTGTATAAAGCATATAAAGGCATTACATAAAGTCTGAGGCTTACAGCCAAGACATAAAAACTGATAGTACATGTGTTATAACAAAGCGGTGTTGTGTGAAGGGCATTTTTACATGAATTTCACATTCTACCAGAACAAACCCCAAGTGACTATCCAAATTATCCAATGCAAAATACTCTGATACCGATAAATTTAATTTGGATCACAGCGTCTTTTGGTTTCCTTAAGACCCTTTACACAGCCTAACTTAGTCGTAGTTGCAGTCATTTTTATTTGTATTAAGTTTGACCGTACCATCCTATTGAGTCAGTCACCTTCGTTATCTTCA